CGCCATTCCGAAATCGCAGGAGGGTCGGTGTAATGCACTACCAAAACGCCCGTAACTAAGAAACAAATGCTAATTAGATGATGCCGGCTGGCACACTGATTCACTATGAATGCAGGCCCAACCCCTTAGCGGCAGAAGCTCGTACTACATCCGGTTCGCCCTCTATTGACACAGTCTTGAAACTTTCTGATCGCACCTCGTAAGTTTACCGACGTTTCAGAGGTCTTTGCTTACTCCATCATTTGCTCTGTTGATGGAGGCAGCAAGGCCCAATACGGTTTGTCAGCTGGAAGAGAGCTTATTTTTCCGCTGGTGTCGCGTCAAGGTACATATTGGAAAATGAAAGTACAACTCCATGCATCCACAGACCTCACACCAGATGAGGAAAATGTTTAGCATAGCGCTTAGATCCCCTTTACCCTGATTCTAATTGAAAAAGATATTGTAATTAATAACAATACTCATGTTTTAATCCTGAAATGGCATCAGCAATCATACAAGCAGCCACTGTAACTCCAACAGGCAGTATCTTTCTTGAACATCTGATGGTTACTCAGCTCATCAAGATATTTCCTACTTTTATGGATCAAGAATGTTCACTGCCGTATTCATGAAAATTTGTTGATGTGGAACAGTGCCATTCGTTATTCACACCGGAATGAGTCCATTCAATCAGACATTGTGGCTGGTTGGTTAACACTTTTGCTTCATATTCAGGAGGTCCCGGATTTAAATCTCGACCTAAAAAACGGCTGTCCTGACAGGTTTTTGAGGATTTTCTCAGTCCTTCTAAGCAAATGCTGAGGTACAACAGAGGAAGTCATACGAAATTCAATACTTGAGTCGGTCAGCTAGTCAAGAACTTCTTGCCTGTTATGGAACCCAAAGATTCACTGCCACTGTATCCTGGTCCAAATGAATCCAGCCCCACACGCTATTTATTTAAAATCCATTTTGCGTGTTCAATATCATCCTCGTACTCAAGTGCTACTAGAAATAACGGCGTAATGCAGCGAAATAAAGGTAAAAGAAACCGGGGTCAAAGATATTTTTTCCGGCAGTCTTCTACAACAATGTTCATCAGACACTCCATGCTGAGAGGTTATTGTGACGAGGAGAAAAACCCCGTCCCTGCTGGGAATCCAACATTGGTAACCCAGCAATGTCGTTTTATTGGGTCGAATGTCCTATAACCAGGCCCGATTGGGTGTGCTCTTATCCCGTTGTCTTTCTTTCCAACGCCATCTTTATTCGGTTTATACTACAGTACGTCCTTACCTGTGGCCACGAGCTGGGGAGTGGGCCTTGATCACTTACATATTGGGATCCAGCTTAAGGTGTATTAGTCCTCGTAGTTCTGTGAGGTACTCTCCGTTGTAGGCAGAGGCCTTGCGTCGAGCTGATCACTCGTCCAAGGAGTCCTATCAAATGTACCTCCCCAATGTAAAATGGGCCTAGGTCGTTCATAAAGGCGACACTATGCACGGCACCGCGAACACAATTTTACGAAGGCTCAAAATTGTCTCTTGAATGTTGCTCTCCCCGATAATGAAAGCGCTCGGGGACAGAATAATATGTAGTTTGGATGTCGAAAACTGCCAAAATTTCAAAAACTAAAAAAAAAAAAATCTGGTATTTTTGCGCCCATACTGGCATTCATTACCGGGGTGTTCACAGTAAAAAAAAATACAAAATTTAAATTATTTGTGTCATGACTTTCTCCAACTTCAATTTTAGACGTTCGAAATGAGAATAAAGTAGCACTTTACTTTAATTATTACACAGGAACCTTGACACTTCTTTATGTATTGTTATTAATTTTATTTCATAATTTGTAACCCCAATTATTCTGACGTCCGCCTAGTCCGCCATTCATGTCTTGGGAACCTCTGAGATGCACGGTATGTATAAAATAGATTCAGAATAAAATTAAATTCGCCCTGCAAGTTTTAACGTAGACTTCCAATTTGAAATGCCATAGAAATGTGTTTACCAGTAATGGAAATTAGACACGAGAATGGACTGGCGTGCGTCATTCCACACACATTGCACAACAAGCATTACATAGTAGAACGCCGGCGGAAACAAGGGTTGCTATGATAAAAATCGCTGCAAGAACATTGGTCGTCCAGCCACAACTTATTACGGATTTGCGGCTGCAGAATGACTGAACTGTGCATTTCATAATAAGAGTGCAGGACGAAACTAGAATTCGCAGTTTTTTCCCCAGCACATTTCAAGATGTGATTCATAGCACACCGAACACGAGACATACAACTAACAAAAGGCACTCGGATATAAATAGCTTCTCCCTGGTGCTAATGTGAAAAGCAAAGAGAGCAAGCTTATTATAAAGTATTCAACACGTAACGATTTGCTTCACTTACTCCTTAAAGCTGCAACCCGTTCTACTAATGCAAACACACTGCTAGTATACAAAACAGCTGACTGACTCACCAGCTGGCCCAACTTGGGACGAACAGAGTGCCAACAGTTGAACAAGAACATCACTAGCGTTCGCGCCGCTATTCCAGTGACGTAACGACTATGGACTGTCAACGTGGTATTTGAATGCTGGGAATCACGTGTTCCCTATGATAAAAGTTGGTCATATGCTCCTGTGCCCTAGGTTCATGCATTGAAGGGGCGTGGAGGTAAAACATGCATTTATGATCTTCTCTAGGAGGTAGTCTGATTCAGGCTCCAGCGGATTTACCGCAGGGAAAGAACCATAGAAATTTATTAGTTAAGTGTGCGCCATGGCAGGTCTGGTCGTGTGCCTCGGATCAGATAAGTACAACATGACGTAAGGTATCATGGATGCGTTTCGTGCGATTGTAGCATTTTGTATTCCCATGGTTGCCATGCTGACGTAAATGCCGGTGATGTTACGTGAAGAAGAGTGTACTCCGAAGAGTACACTTCTCCGTTGTTATTAATCGACAAACAATCATAGGCTGTCTGGCCTGTTGTAATTCAGAATTACTCTTGGAACTGTTAGTTCTTTTGTATATTATGTAGAACTCCTTGAACGCGTATATGATAAGACAACGTAGAAATATACGGACATTTACCCATGTCCGGAATGATATCGAGTGACCCGAGATCGGACGGTCACTGTCATTGGCGTTCATTAATTCTTATTAAACTTTAAAGTCCATCCATCCATCAAACAAATTCTGTTGCCGTCTTCCTTCACTACAAACAAAACAAAGCTCTTATACAAAAATAACTCTTCCTTCCACCGAATGAGCGTATTATAGATCGGTCAGGCGTGTTATAAGTTTGGTTACTCGACAACTCTGAGGCGTCCAGCGATGTGAGCTTTGTAAAAAGCCTATCTGTTTACAGCATTTTGTTTCTTATGCATGTTTCGCTATACTTTTTATTATGTTGGCATTGATATTATGGAATGTGGTGGAAAAAATCATTATGGATAGGTTAAACAGCACTGGCCTCTCGGCACAAAAATGTCTCAGACCCTTCGCGATGTATGCAGTGTCTGCAGATACACCGTCTTCAGACCACTTCTGCTGTCAAAATATTTTGGACTCTCCTTCTCGGTGGAGCTGGGCTTCCATTGTCTCCAACCGTTGGTCCGTGCTATACTGTACAGCAGCATTTCTCAACCTATGGTACGCGTACAACTGGTGGTACTCGAACTAAGTAAGAAAATCAAAAGATAATATTAACATACATAAGTTTTCCCTGAATGCATTTAGTTCGTGGTACATTTAATGTGTTACAATAGAATTAGTGGTAAACCAGCGAAAAAGGTTGAGAACCCCTGCTGTACATAATTGTTTTTGTGGCGTCCTGTTCTGGCATTGTACGGTCCAAGTGTGATACATGGGACATTTCTCCTCCCATTTACAATGCCAGTGGAATACTCGTTGTGTTCAGTTAAATTATTCGCTTGTATTGCCATAAGTACCTTATCTTTTTCAAGAGTCACAAGATATCTGTACCTAGTCAGCTGTCTTGTTTGAATGATTCCCTCAGGTGTTGGTAATCCTGCAGTATGCTAGAGCAGTGGTATTGAACCTGGGGTACGCGAAGACATCTTATGGGTACGTGAAATTTAAAAAATATATATATTATTTTATGATAAACATTGAATAATCAGTAATGTAATTTATTTAATTTATTTTAGATGTAGATTATATACTATGTATAACTTGAATTATACACCAACAACTTTGGGGGTACAAAGTTGAAGAGAAATTATATCTGGGGGTACGCGAACAAAAAAGGTTGGAAACCACTGTGCTAGAGAATACCATTGATTAAGATATCGAGTTATATGCATTCGTCATCATCGTTGGTGACGCTGTGAGACAGACATTTTTATTAAACGGTTGATCGTACTTCCATTTAGTGGAATTAAAATACCAAATTATGTTCGACTTTATTTATCGATTGATCCGTACGTTGTTTAACAGTATTTTGTCGATTCAGTAACTCATATTGAAGAGAATATAAAGTTTAGGTAATCCTGAAGAGTTAGGAGGAATTTAGAAGGATCAGATCGTGTTGTGTTTCATTGTACTGTGTCTCCATCTGATGTTCATTGCATAAACCGTCGAACATTCACAATTTGGAGGACTGTTTTCCTATCCGAGGTTTGAACCGGGTATCTCGATATAACTCGAGCTGTTTACCGCTGAATTATTGCCTCCAACAAACCCACTGACGGGCAGTGGACAAAGAGGTCACTGTCGCTGTTCTTGCCCTGCTAGTGCCCATGACTTCGACTTGACTTTAATTTGTGTCTGTATAACCCGCCAACAAAGCACCATGAAGTTAATGATGCTACCATGTGTAAGGAAGAGTGGGTAAACAGAGTGGTTTAATTCATTACTTAGCGGTGCTGACTAAACCGCAATGAATTTTCATAACAATAGGAACTTCATATAAATGTGATATTTACAAACATAAATTAAAGTGAATGCGATCAACTACAGGGTTATTCATAATTCCCTGATACATTACAAACAATATCCAGACTTGAATGGTGCAAAGGATGGTAACATGCGACATGCCGATAGAAAGAAAAACTCGCCAAGTTTATTTTACATACCTCATAAATGCCCTATGACCGTGCGTTGCTTCGTTGGCCACCCCGATCACCTGATATGACGCCATGTTATTTTTTCTTGTCGGGGTACGTTAAGGACCAGGTTTTGTACGGCCTCTGCCATGGGATATCACAAATCGATCGTGACATACTGCAGCGGGTATGGGCGAAATGGATGATCGGCTTGACGTCTGCCGCGTCACAAAGGGCGGACTCTCAAAGCATTTATGAGGTATGTACAATAAACTTGGTGAGTTTCTCTTTCTATCGGCATGTACTATGTCACCATCTATTGCACCATTAAAGTTTAGCGATTTTTTGTAATGTGTCAGGGAATTATGAATAACCCTATGCACTCACAAGGATAATGTACAGTTAGGTAGGTTATAAGTTTAAAAATTTTAACGTCTATTTTGAAATGGAGACACACATATAACAACTAATAATTATACAATTCAGTGGTCAGTGTTTTCTGAGTCGTGTTGAGAGATCTTCACTTGATTATCAATTCGAAGACAGACTGTTCTTCCAAGGGTTTGTCGTGGTTTTTCTCCGGTCAGATGCTGGGATAGTAATTTAAATAATACATCGGCGCTTCCATATCCTTAAAAATTCATGACTTCCTCATGTTTGTTGCTGTCCATTTATTAAATAACAATTAAATTAACATTTCACGTCGAAAAATGAGAATCATGAAACGGGCAACACAGAAGTTGAACTAATATAGGCTCAGCTGCACAGACATTTTTCTACGACTAGGCCTATTGGTTAAGAAACACGGTGTTTCGGAAGCTGCAGCTATTTTCGCCAACAATTGAAAGTGTTAAACATAATAACATATATCTTTATCTGATGACGGAAGGTGAACTTGCTTCCGAAACGTCGTCCTTTTAACGAAAAGCCAAAGTTATTCTTTGACTATTCATTCCAAGAATATGTATTAATTCAATCAAACGACCTTCATCATAAGGCTTTAGACTAAATAATTGATTCTCTGATGTCTGTGACAAGGACTGATTCAGTACATCACTACTATACATCACATTGTACATTGCCTGAAGTGGTATGTTTTACACGACGTATCAGGATCGATTCTGTTTTCGTAATTAGGTAATAAGTCATAATTTTTTATGTTTTTATACTTTATTTTTAATAATAGTTATTCCAGCGATTGACATACTATTGTCGTATTATATGGGTCCCGGGTTCGACTCTAACCTTCACCACTAATATTAAAATAAATAATAACCTGTCACTGTTACGACACTCACCTCAAAGCGGGAGTACAGCGAACTCCCGACAAGTCACGCACATTAAACATACTTCAGACAACGAGCAATGTCCAATAATTGGTACTATATAAAGGTGTTTCTTGCCTTTTGCCCGTTTTATTTCCCGATATTGTTTGTCATATGTGCCGTCACAGTGGCCGCGCGGTCTGAGGCGTGGGCCTTGTGCCGCTTGGTCACTGGAACCGTGGGTTCGAATCCCACTCAAGGCATTGATGTTTGTCAGCGTTATTCTGTGTTGTGCTGTCTTGTGTGCAGGTAGACACCTTGCGACGGGCCGATCCTTCGTCCAAGGATTCCTACCAACTGTCTGATAGATCAAAGCCAACGAAAGTTGGGACCTGCACATGCTCAAGGCACTGAAGAACGGGTCGTCTAAGTATCCTAAGTAAGTAAAGTTTGTTATATTGACGTGTTTCTTAATGACGCGAGGCACCGTAATTAATTTGCCAGACGAAACTTCACAATGGCTGTAGATACGTACGCCGTCTTCAGAATAATTGTGCTGCTCTCTTAGTGTCTTGGCCCTGTTATCACTGATGAGATATCTCCAAACTTCGGCCCTTGGCGTTCTGTACAGCAAGCATGCAAACTCGCGGCCCACAACGAATATTTTTGCGGCCCAGCCAATATAACGGTATGTAAGAAACGTTTTAATAAAAATTTCTTAACTTAATTTTTACAATATCCTGTTATACATAATTATTAATAACGAACTATAACGTTCGCCAATGACTGATTACTATAATTGTGTTGCATCCATTTCCCATATGCCTTACGAACATGTGTGACCAAGTTAAAGCATTCAAATGTAAGCTAGTTCTTTGGGAAAAGCAGTTTAAAAATGAAGATTTAACGCACTTTCCGACATGCAACATGAACAAATCAAGTTTAGGTAAAACTGCATCGTATCAAAAATACGCAGAAAACATTTTAAGCCTTAGAACTGAATTTGAAACAAGGTTTGCAGATTTTAAATTTTTGGAAGACAAGTTTTCTTTGTTTTCTTCGATTTTTTCAATAAATATAGAATCAGTACTTAATCAACTGCAAATGGAGGTAATTGAGATCCAGTGCGATTCTGATTTGAAGGCAAAATTCAGTGAAGTTGGCGTGCCTAGATTTTACAAATATTTACC